ACTAACTTAAGCATCGGAGCGACCTCGCCGAGTAAGCAACCCCGGGTTCTCTGATTTGCCTCTTGCAGACCAACTGAGTTCATCGTCTACTAGGAGCCAGATCACCTTCAGTTGGGAGCAGCCGGATTGCGCAACATCATTTGGCATCGTCTGTGGGAATCGGAACAAGAAGCCTATTTCCTCAAAAAGCATCCATGGCATCCTCCAGTAACGCCGGACAGAATGCTGAAATGAACGTCTCAGGAGGGCAACCTTAGGTCCCATCCGTGTGTATCGGACAGTTCACTGTGCCTCTCTATACAAATGGGGTTCCGACACTAAACGTGCCTCGGGTCATAGTATCGGTGAATGCCCCACTCCCTCCTACGGTGGGTGCAACCTTTGTTGAACCCTTTGTAATTCCCCCTACAGTCGAGTAGAATCAACTTGACGACCTGGTACACTGCATGCGGGCTATTCAAGTCCAAATGCAACAGGTCTAACAATTCCAACAGTACCAGCAACAGGTCATGCACCATTTCTACCAGCAGCAATATCAGCAACAGTTCCCTCCGCTGCAACAGAATCAACAACCAATTCCACCTCGGCATCCGACGACACAGCAAAACAAGTCTCGCCATCAAGGCAATCGCCCTCCTCGTCGGGGAGAGACTTCCCAGATCCAAAATCCTCTCATGAGCCAGGTCTCGTCCCGCGGCAGGAGGGAAAGGCAAGTCACTCCTCCCGCCTCGCAGCAAGTGAATAGGTCGGGAGACACTCAGCCTGCCAGAGCTGCTTTACCTCGGCCTTCGCAGCTTGAAGGTTCACTCGCAGGGAACCGGTTCGGGGTTCTAGTCGCGGGCTCTAGACAAGGCCCCTCTATCCACAGCAGCCAGTGTCAACAGTCCGAGCAACTTCATGCCAGAACAGTGCCCGACAACACTGAAGTTAGCAGCACAAATACCGAACCAGTCAGGAAGCAGCGAAAGCAGCGGAAGCGGCGTCGTAAGACACACCGAGCTACAGTTCCAAGCCAGCTCGCTGGACCAAGTCAGCCCAAACAGCCTAAAGGCAAAGAAGAAGCTAGCTCAGGAACCGCGAAGACCACTCCCCTCCTCTCTGTGCCATCTCCCTTGTCCTTCAAGCTCCTGGCCACCCCAATGCTGAAGGACTTCAAGGTACCTCCGCTAGACAAGTACGACAAGTCATTCAACCCGAATGATCACATAGACTCCTTCCAGTCCCAGATGCACTTAGTTGGGGCTGATGAATCTTGCATGTGTGTTGCCTTCTCTACAACCTTCAAAGGAGTAGCTCGCACGTGGTATAGGAACCTCGCGCCCGGGACGATTAAGAGTTGGGCGCAGTTCGTGCAAATGTTCACCTTGCACTTCATCACCAGTAAGAAGTGTCTGAGGTCACAAGAAATCCTCCTCAGTATAGTCCAGAGGGAAGGAGAGTCGATTCGAAGCTACATCAAACGCTTCAACGACACTTGCTTGCAGATTCCTGACCTAGATCCCGCTGTAAGACTCACAACAGCGAAGAGAGGTATTACTCACAGAGAGTTCAAGTGGCACGTGGTAGCCAACAAGCCCAAGGATATCACTGAGTTTCTCAAGCTCGTTGATCAGTTCATCAGGACAGAAGAAGAGATGAACCAAAAAAGTGAGAACCCAGCGAAGAAGAGAAAACGAGAAGGCGACACCTCGAACAACGGGGACAACAAGCGAAGAAAGGACGAACCAACCAGGGGAGGGAATAAGTCAGATCAGCGTTCCTGAACTCCTTCGATTGAAAGGACAAGCTACATGCCCCTTAATGCGAAGCGGGGAGAGATTCTCATGGCGATCAAAGACGCTTCTTATGTGAAGTGGCCACCTCGGTTGAGGGGAGATCCTAACACAAGAAACAAGAATGTATACTATCATTTCCAAAAAGATCACGATCATAGTACTGAAAATTGTAGAAACCTCCACGATGAGATTGAAGAACTCATCCGTCGCGGATACTTGAAAAACTTTGTACAAAAAGATAATAAAAGTCAAACAGATCAGCAAGGGGAGCAAAGGAGAGATGCTCCTGAGTCCAGCAACAAACAGAGTGAGGAGCCGCAGAGACAACTGCTCGAAGAGATACCCATCCGCGGGGTAATCCATATAATTACCGGCGGGTCTATTGTTGCGGGCTGCACCTCGGCAGCGGCGAAGACCTCAGATCGCGAACTAGAAAGAAAAGAACAGAATCCTTTGAAGCAGCCAAGGCTCGAAGATCCCATATTCTTCACGGAAGACGACGCGCGCGGGATTCAATACCCCCATGATGACGCGCTAGTCATAAAGATGAGGATCAATGACTTCGAGGTGAAGCGCGTCCTGGTCGATTCAGGCAGTTCGGCAGACATCCTGTTCAAGGACGTCTTCGACAAGCTCCAGCTCCAAGAAAGCGACATCAAGCCCACGAATACTCCTCTGGTAGGCTTCAACGAAGAAGTCAGGCCCCTAAAGCGAATTTCAGTACCTGTGGAGGTCGGCATGTGGCCTAATATCGCATGATTCGAGCATACTTTCCTAGTGGTCGCAACTCCCTCCTCATACAACGCCATTATAGGTCGGCCCATCACCCACGCACTTCAGGCAGTGGTGGCCACCTACTATTTGGCTATGAAGTTCCCCACGAACTTCGGAGTACGGGTAACGCGAGGCGACCAGCTCGAGTCTCGCAAATGCTACTTCATCGCCCTCAAAAGGAAAGCCAATGTAGCAGATGACCTCGAGCTAGAGCGACCTACGGAGTACACCGACAGAAGAGACAGTCCACGTACCTGTTTCAATAGAAGATTCAGCTAGGACTCTCCAGATCGGTGCATCAGTCGAGGAACCTCTTCGTTCTCAGCTAGTAAGTTTTTTAATTAAAAATTTAGATATATTTGCATGGTCCGTGGCAGAGATGCCCAGTTTAGATGCAAAAATAATAACTCACAAGTTAAATACTGATCCTGTAGTCAGGCCCGTTAAACAGAAGAAACGCAATCTCGCCACGGAGCGCTGGACGGGGAGGTCGAAATGCTCCTTGCAGCCGATTTCATCAAGGAAGTCCATTACCCGAGTTGGGTAGCTAACCCCGTTCTGGTAAAAAAGACCAACGGTAAATGATGCACGTGCGTCGATTATACCAACCTGAACCGGGCTTGCCCGAAGATTGTTTCCCACTTCCTAAGATCGACCGTCTGCTGAGTTTCTTGGACGCGTACTCAAGATATAATCAGATCAAGATGGACCCTACCGACGAGGAAAAAACGGCTTTCATAACCAAGCTAGGCTTTACTATACAAAGTCATGCCCTTTGAACTAAAAAATAATGGGGCAACCTTCCAGAGATTTGTAAACATAATCTTTGAGCTGTTGATCAGCAACAAGGTTGAGTGTTATATAGACAACATGGTCGTCAAAACCCAATTTTTAAATTGTTTAATAAAATATTTGCTTTGTGTTTTTGAAGTTTTGCGCAAATATAACATGAAGTTAAACCCTAACAAGTGTGTCTTCGGTGTCACCTCGGGTAAATTCCTATGTTACATAGTTAACTGATGTGGCATCGAAGCCAACCTTGAAAAAATAAAGGTCATCCTAGATATAAGGCCGCCTCGTAAATTGAAGGATGTTTAGAAGCTAAACGATCGTATAGCCGCTCTGAGCCGCTTCATGTCCAAGTCGGCAGATCACTGCCTATCTTTTTTCAAGGCGATCAAAAAAAGTAAGGACTTTGAGTGGACCGAAGAGTGCCATCTCGCCTTCGATGAGCTCAAAAAATACTTAACTAGTATCTCGATTCTGACCCGACCCGAGGATGGAGATGTTTTGAAGCTGTACCTCTCCGCAAGTGATGAGGTGGTCAGCTCGGTACTGATAAAGGAAGTAGGTCAGGTTCAATGGCCCATCTACTATATCAGCAAAGTTTTGCAGGATGCAGAAACAAGGTACCCAAAGATCGAGAAACTGGCGTACGCACTGGTCATCGCAACTCGGAAGCTTCAACCGTACTTCCAAGCCCACACCGTCGTCATTCTCACCAACAAACCTTTGAGGCAAATCTTACTCAAGCCCGAGGTATCCAGCAGACTGACGAAGTGGGCCATCGAACTCAGCGAGTACGACATCCGGTATGAGCCTCGAACGGCGATTATGGCCCAAGCCTTAGCCGACTTCGTTGTAGAATGCACCTTCAGCACCACAGTCCCTGAATTGATTGAGCTCGAGCACAGAGAGGAAGCTTCAACCAGTGCGGCACCAATCCCGGTTAGAGCAAGGCCAACTTAGGACGAGGAGCCCTGGATCCTCCATGTAGACGGCTCATCTAATCAGCAAGGAAGCGGAGCCGGCATCATTCTATACGGGCCAAGCGGGGTGAAACTGGAGTACGCACTTCAGTTCGAGTTCGTAGCATCCAATAACAAAGCAGAGTACGAAGCACTGATAGCTGGGCTCGCTCTAGCAAACGAAGAACAAGCCAAACACGTCATCTACAGTGACTCCCAGCTCGTGATCAACCAGGTCACTGGTGATTACGAAGCTCGCAACCCCACCATGGTTGCTTATCTAGCCAACGTCAGGGAAGTTCTACGCGGCTTCCAATCATGCTTCATCAAGCAAATTCCAAGGTCCGAGAACACTGAGGTCGACGCCTTGTCCCGATTAGCCAATACGAGCAACAACACCATGAGGACCGTGTATATAGAGAACCTACCTCGGCCCAACATTTTCGGGGGGGGAAGAAGAGGTCGCTCCTGTTGCACAAGCAGAGCCAAGCTGGATTGACCCACTCGCGAGCTACCTGCTTCACGGGACTCTCCCTGCAGATCGCAACGCAGCCAAAAGGGTAAAGCGACAGGCAACCAAGTATGTCATAATAGACGGATGGTTGTACCGGAGATCCTACACGCTCCCCTACTTGCGCTGCTTGCGACCCTCAGAGGCCGAGCTCGTTCTCCACGACACTCATGAAGGTCTGTGTGGCGGACACTTAGGGGGCAGGGCCCTCGCCCAGAAAGCGCTACGACAGGGGTACTACTGGCCCACGATGAAGGCAGACGCGCTCGAGCTTGTCAAGAAGTGCGACAAATGCCAAAGGCACTCCAACATCCACCACCAACCTGTTGCCGACCTGAAGTACCTCATTAGCCCATGGCCCTTCGCACAGTGGGGAATTGACATTCTTGGACCATTCCCGCCAGCGACATGACAGAGGAGATTCTTGGTGGCAGTAGTGGATTACTTCACGAAGTGGGTGGAGGTGGAACCCCTAGCAACAATCATAGCACGAAGTGTACAAAACTTCTTTTGGAGGAGTATAGTATGCCGCTTCTGACTACCCCGGGTGCTTATCTCTGACAACGGTAAGCAATTCGAAGATATCAAGTTTCAAAATTGGTGTGCCGAGATGGAGATACAACAGAATTTCACTTCGGTGGCACACCCTCAAGCAAATAGGCAGGTGGGAGTCACAAACAGAGCAATACTCCGTAGACTAAAAGCCTGCTTAGCCCGAGCTAAATGACTATGGGTAGACGAGCTACCCAGTGTATTATGGGCCTACCGAACTATAGTGAAGACCGCCACAGGTGAAACCCCCTTCAACCTCACCTATGGCACGGACGCGGTAATCCCAGCCGAGACCGAGGTGCCTACATTACGCTTAGAGGCATACGACGAAGAAACCAACGATGACTAGCTCCGTACCAACCTCGACCTGGTGGAAGTACGGGACCTCACATATATCCGGACCGCAATTTACCAGCAAAGAGTGGCTCAGTACTATAACGATAGGGTCAAGAAGCGGCACTTCCGTGTCGGAGACCTGATCTTTCGAAAAGTTATGGTGTCTGAGCCCGGTGTCGAAAAGTTCGGACCAAACTGGGAAGGTCCCTACCGAATAAAGCGGGTACTCGGGGAAGGTACGTACGAGCTCAATACCTTAGAAGGAAGACAGGTACCTCGAGCATGTAACGTCAGCAATTTAAGGCGATACTACCTGTGATCGTCAAACTGGAAAGCGGACTGTGAGTTACTCCCAGAAGTCCAAGGACTAAAAGAGTCAAGTTGATAAAAGACATCGGCATCATATAAGTCCCAGTCGCCTCTTCAGCTTGGGCGAACTAGTCCCAGTAGCTCCTTTGGCATGGGCGTATAAGTCCCAATTGCCTCCTCGGCATGGGCATATAAGTCCTAATCGCCTCTTCGACATAGGCAAAGTACTTTTAATGCCTAAAGAGTATACAGCTCGAGTTTAAACCCTACGATGTCTAACCCACTTCGGCATATATCAACAGGTTTGGCCCGTTAGGGACAACCGACATTTAAATGAGTAGCCCGTGCGCGGACAGGTCGGGTATATACCCTACAATGTCGCTCACCTCGACGTTCACTATGTAAAGTTGCCCCTACTAATAGTCCAAATAGACAATTCGGGGTAACAAACACTTAGATAAATTTTTACTTTGGTTATCCTTACTTGTTGTCCAGCTCGATAGCTCGACAATTCAGGTAACCTATACATTCGTTGCCCAGATCGGGAGTTATTTACACTTAGAATATTTTTGCACAAGGATTGCTCAGAAAAGTTTATATTTCATTGATGAAAAAGTGTGAGTTCAGAGGTTTCAGTATAACCCGAGCTCGGTGGCCTCGGGGCGTACATCCAAAACATAGAAAGAACAAAAAGCCAAAATTTCTCATGAGGACTGTTAGCAGGATCAATCTCCATGTGCTCTCCCGCATCCTCTTGACCCGAGGAGCCCACCTCTTCGACTTCATCGTCACTTTCCTCCTCTGACAAGTTGGGCTCTTCGTTTGTCACCTTCGCCACCTCGGGGGTAAGGCCCGACATAGTGATGACTCCGAGATCAAGGTCAGGGAACTTTTGCCGCACCAAGTACCTGCACAGCTTGAAACCGGAACGATAGAATCTCGACCCGTATTCGGCCTGGAGATCATGGAACTCCGAGGATTCCTTGAAGCGTTCGATGGCGTGGCTTCTTTCTTCTCGCGCCTCTTGGAGGGCGGTCTCAAAGATCGTAGTCCGCTCCTGGATCGTCGCTTTGAGATTCTCAATCTCTTGTTGAAGCTTTGCCTTCTCCTCGGTCAACATAGATTTTCTCTTGTTGCCCCATTTTTTCATCAGTCAGTGTGGAGATTAGTTCCTGTTGCTTCTCCTCCTCAATCATGGCCAAGATCAACTCCTGCTGACTTTGAGCTCCATTCTTGGCCCGAAGTATCTTGCCCCGAGCAAGGTCCAGTTCGCGATGAAGTTGTCATGCCTTTTCCTCGTCATTTTGACCTGCTTCAGGCGGATCTCAAACCGACACATCAACGAATGAATGGCAGAGTTCACCTAGCAAATAAAAGCGAGGTAAGTACATTTGAAATTGACAAAGAAATAAACTGTAAAGTAAGATATTTACCACCATGCAGTAACCGACAGCTCAAGCTCCGAGCATGGCTGTAGACATGTCAACCCACTCTGCGACCTCGTCAAGAAAGACGGCATCCCTACTCTTGCATATTGCGAGCCGAAGAGTCATTATGCTCTCATTGGAGGACTTGGGCCTCGGTGCAGAAGCGCTTTTCGGCCTGTGAGGTTGGACGCTTTCCTGGTTGGGTACATAAGTGCTCCCCAGTTCGTGAGGCCAAGCATCCTCCTCCTAGTCATCATCCAAGTCCACCACGGGGGGTTGAGGATGAACCTCCTCCTCGAGGAGCTCGGCCGAGATCGGCTCCACGGCCAAGACTTCGGATGGGGTAGGGGCTGAAGGACCGACCTCCCGGCGAAGCTTCTTCGAAGCCTTCCTCTTCTTCCCTCTTTGAGAGCTCTTGAGAAGGTTCTCAGCATCGACCTCCGTCATGGTAACTACAAGAGCAAAAGGTTAGCTGCAAACTAAAAAGAACTTTAAAGTAAAAAACCAAGGTGGAAACCTACCAAGAGGGCTCAGACCAACTCGCACAAGCTTCTCCTCAACCAAGAAATCTTTCATCCCGAGGCAGAGGTCCCTCCACGAGTTGACGACTGCCCTAGTTTCTGCATCCAAGCTCACCCCAGGATCCTTGATAGTCACCCTCTAGTGAGTTAGAAAAGACCACCTTTAGGATTTCGGACAATAAAGTACCTCCTCTTCCAGGCGGGAACCTTGTTCGGGCAGCCGAACAGGATTTTGAACCCATGTCGAGGTGAGATGTAATAGCTTTGTCTGACAAGCCCGCACAGACAAGTAGAATTTCGCTTGATCGCACAGATCGAACTGAAGGTATCTAGGGACAGAGGCCAACTATACATATGGAACAAGGAGATAGTACCAACTATACTCCGGATAGAGTTTGGATGTAGTTGATCGATGGTAATATTAAAAAACTTAACTACCTCTATGATGAAAGGGTGAAGAGGAAAGCGCAGCCCGACCGCGAGCTACTCCTCAAAGACCGCGAGCTCATGGTAATCATGAGCCCAAGGATATTGACCTAGGGGAAGACTAAAGACCAAACTATCGGGAAAACGATAGCGAGCTACTAAGTACATTAGCTTATCCGAGGTCATAGTAGAAAGACCGAAATCATCTGGATCCCGAACCTGGGAAGAAGACGGGGCCTCCGTTCTAGAGGACGGACCCTCTTCCCGAACCTCGGTCTCCCCGAACCAAGATGGCTCAACTTCAAAAAGGGAAGTTTCCTCTAAAGACTGAAGAGGGGAGTCACCCAGCGGCGAGCTGACCTCCCCAGCAGGGGCCGCGGATTGCACCACGGCACCCTCAACCTCAATAGAACTACCTAAAAGCCTATCTACTCTAGAACTAGACATGATTAAAAAGCAAAAGAGAAGCAAACGAAGGAAAACACAAACTCGCCAAAGAGAATGACGACCTCGGAACACAAAGAGAAAGCGAGTTGAAAGACTCTGACATGACCTCAGAAGATACCAATCATTAAATTTGTGGCGAGAAAAATGAGTCACGGACCCCCCTATTTATAACCGCTATGTCCGAGAACTAACGGTCGAGATCGAAACAATCCAACGGCTCCTAGGAAAACCGATTACGTGACCCTCGAGGATAAAATCGGTTCAACGCGTTTTTGGACGTCCGCAGAGTTTATAGATCGTGTAATGTCTGCACATAGGCCAGACGCAACCTGGATTTTCCTGATTGAACCGGGTGGACGAACAAGTCCGACCCATGATTCATCTGGCTAGCTGCCTAGACCTTGGACCAAATCCACTTGGCTCGTCATGAACTCCCCGCACCGGGTCAAGACCCTTGGCTCGAGGAGTGAAAGCAATTAATGAAGGGTGATTTGGCCCAACCTAGTAATAGGGGGACACGTGGACACGACCTAACTAGCACGATGACAGCTTAGTCCGACACACCAAGTCTGCAATGGATCGAGCTCGAATAACCGAACCACCTCGGGGCAAGTCCGCCTCGGGAAAAGTTCACCTCGGGGCACAATCGCATCAGGACCACCTTGGTTCCAAGGCACTTCAGCATTCGTACCAAGTCAGATCCAAAGGGCACTAGCTCGAGTAATATTAACCGACCACTGCATGGCAACCACGAAGATCTCGCCACCAGATTCCACGCCTAACGGGATCACGCCTCGTAACAGCTAGCATTATCTCCCCCGTCCGATTCGGGCGAAAGTGATGAATCTTATCAGTTGGTAGCGTTATCCCAATTAATGCGAAAACGGACCTCATCGTAACGAGGATCCTGGAACTGCTCCGCGAAACCCGCGAAGGCTCTACTATATAAGTGCTCCACTCCCCGAGGGTGAAAGGTACGCATAATCTCTGCTCTCAAGCCCTCTTGCATTCTAAACTACTATCAACTCGCAACCAAGTACTGACTTAAGCATCGGAGCGACCTTGCCGGGTAAGCAACCCCGGGTTCTTTGATTCGCCTCTTGCAAATCAACTGAGTCCGTCGTCTACTGGAAGCCAAATCACCTCCAACTGGGAGTAGCTGGATTGCGCAACATCATTGCTCATTCAGTTAAGGTCCACACCCAAGCTCGATGTTCATTGATGATTAGCTGAATGGAGCTCTCTACAAGGGACAAAAGGCAACGTAGGCATAAGCGATTCTCAAATAAACCTGTTGAGGTTTAAGTAGAAAATGAATAAACAAATAAAATGGAAAAATAAGTAGCAATAATAATAGCTATCAACCAATTTTTGTTAATGATAATGAACAATACCAATGAGTCCAGATCTGCTCCTCACAACATGTATCAGTTGCACATTAAGAACATCTCTCGTACTTGTATGTTATTATTAACGGGAGATGTTCCCAATACACGATGGGATGTGGCTATGAAGTCAATGTAAAGAGTGCTATATGAAGAGCAGATACCAATTCAATACCAATAATGATAGGAATAAAATAATATCCTTGGAAACTACAATAATAAATCAACTATCAAAAAAATAAAATAATATCCTTAATTAGCAAACGGTTTAGCATATCTAGAACCATGACCATTTATACCCAAGTCATCTCAAATTTCTATACCTCATTGATAAGCCATAGAAATATCCTTCCCATCATTTAATTTATGAGTTGCATGTGTAGAAAGCCAACCACTTCAAATGAATTTCAGCATGAGACAACAGGGGATCATGTAAGCTAATTCTTTACATCACAATTCCAAGTAAGTCCAAACTCTTCAAATTTTTGCAAAAAATGTTGCATGAGAAAACAAACAAATTTCCTTGTTGAATATAGCACAATAAATCAAAATAGAGCCCTAATTCACATAAATCTCTAGTTTATAACTTCAAAGGGATTATAATTAATAGAAAGTGCAAGGATTTTCAAGAGAAAAGTAATTACCTGATTCAAGGAATTTGGGTCTTCGAGATTTCTTTTGATTAGCATTTTAAAAAAAACTAAGTTTCATATTGAGGTAAGAAGTCAAAAGTCAATAGACACTAAGGTTTAATGCATTTGATCAATAGCAATGTTTAGTTTTGAAAATTAAAATTAAAGCTGAGAATGATTACCTGAAAATGGGTAAGTCGAAAAATGGAAGGACCTAGATAAAATAATCATGAAATGAACCCATAGGTAAGTAATATGCTATAAAGTCAAAGAACGGGTAAAACTGTAGGGGAAGTCTAAACAGCTTACCCTTGTAATAAAAAGGTGAAGTGATAAGAAACCTGTTGGCAATTGTCGAGCGTCCTTAGCCATGCCCAACAAATGGCTAGCGATCAAAACAAGTTGTAACATAAAGTTGCATCAAAATCCATTGGGAAAGAGCACAAACATACTTCGAGCATGAAAACAAACTCCCTTAGTAGAAGAAAAAAGGAGGAGGAGAACCCAATGGTAGAAACAAAACCCCAAGTGAAATAGAGGAAAGACATCCGAGGCAAGCAGGAAAACAGCCTAGAGCGACCTCAAATCCTATAAAACAAGAAAAATATAAATCTAGGGAGCAAAGAGCAAAATAGAAATCAGAGTTTAGGGAGCATAAACCTGTGAGAAAATAAAAACTCAACGAAAGCAAAACAGAAAGCCAACAATTAATAAACTTGTGAGAAAAAAAAAAAAACAAAATAGAAGGGAACACATAAAGGAAAACATAGTTTAGGGAGCATAAATCACCATAAAAATAACATCCACTGTAAGAAGGAATGGAGGGAACAAATGGAAACTCAACGAAAGCAAAATAGAAAGCCAACAATTAATAAACTTGTGAGAAAAAACAAAATAGAAGGGAACAAATAAAGGAAAGCAGAGTTTAGGGAGCATAAATCACCATAAAAATAACATCCATTGTAAGAAGAAGGAATGGAGGGAACAAATGTGAAACCCCCATTGTAGCCAAACAATTCAAGTATCCCACTGGAGAGGGAGAGGCACGGACCCTTGCTGTCTAACTATCTAAGAAAAGAGACACCCCATCGTCCATTCAGGTATCCCACTGGGGAGGGAGAGGTATGGAACCCATGCTATCTAAGAAGAAGATGGACTGAGAAAAGAGAAACACATGTAAAGATAGATTGGGGCTGCAACTTGCGAGGTTTGAATCGTTTGATTGACTTGGATGCTTCGAGAGAGGGGGGTATTACCCGAGGCAAAGCTTCTCCGAGAAGACACTAAGAGAGATAGAGAGAGTTCGAAACACACACAAAATGCTTGTATGTGAGGAGATTCCGAAAGATGGACTGAGACAATCGCACGTACGAAGTGATTGTACGTGATGCCATTGATCTACTCGCACGAGTAGATTCTATTTGGCGCACGGAGAATGTAGGCATATCGTATATCAGTATTTGTTAATTACTTAAATTAATTTTAAAAGTATTAAATAATTAAAATACGATATTAAATTTCATAAATTTGTTTAATTGTGATATTTTATTGCAATACTTAAGGGTATTTATTAAGATAAGATATTTCCTTTCACTAATGGTATTTATTTAATTACGGTATTAAATTACTGTTATTTAATTACAATAATTTTCATTAATTACAGTATTGATTTCAACTAACGGTATTTATTTAATTCATTAACATTATTGGTTAACGTTATTTTAAATACAGTATATATTTAATTTAATTATGCTATTTATTTTGAAAATAATTTTTATTTAATTACGGTATTTTTATTAATTAATAGTATTTTTTATTAAATACATTATTTCTTTTAACTAATGGCATTTATTTATTTTTGGTATTAAATTATTATTATTTAATCACAGTATGTTTTTTATTAATTACAGTATTTATTTAATTACTACATTTTTTAATTAAAATAAATTGTAGTATTTTTAACACTATTTAATAGTAACTAGGGTATTTATTATTAATTCTGCTATGTAATTACTTTAAATACTGTATATATTTAATTTAATTATGGTATTAATTTAAATAACATCATTTATTTAATTATGGTATTTTTATTAATTAGCAGTATTTTTTATTAAATACTGTATTTTTATTTATTAAATTAGTGTTTGTATTCTAATTTTGTTAAAAATGTAACTAAATATCCAAAAATCATTTAGTTTTTGAATTACTGTTACATTAACATTATAGTTTTTTTAATCCACGTAACTAGCGGTATTTATTTAGTTTTTTAACAGTATACATTAACATTACTTCAAATATGGTATTTATTTAATTTAATTATGGTATTAAATTACTATTATTTATTATTAATTCCAATGTCTTTTATTTATTGAATTATTGTTATTTAATTGCGGTATTTTTATTAGATACAGTATTTATTATTAATTCTGGTATTTAATTAGTTTTTAATAACATTATTTATTAAAATATAGTATTTCTTTTAACTAATGGTATTTATTTAATTTGGTATTAAATTACTATTATTTAATTACAGTATGTTTTTATTAATTACAATATTTATTTAATTATGGTATCTTTATTTATTAAATTAGTGTTGTTTATTTGTGATAATTTTTATTAGTTACAGTATTTATTTAATATCAATATTTATTAATTAATTAAATTCATTACGGTACTTAACTAATTTTAACATTATTAAATAATTAAAATATGGTATTAATTTCAAAAAAATTGTTTAATTGTGATATTTTATTGCAATACTTAATTTTAGTTACTGTATCTAACGGTATTTATTTACTTTTTTAACAGTATACATTAGCATTATTTCAAATATGGCATATTTAATTACGGTATTAAATTACTGTTATTTAATTGTGGTGTATTTATATTAATTACAGCCTTATTTAGTTACTATTATAAATTCTGGTATTTATTTAGTTACTGTTATATATTTTTTTTTATTTCACTTTTTTTAACGAATCCCATGCATCGCACAGGTCTCGCTAGTTTTCTTTAAAAATACATTTATAATAAATTAATATATTCAATAAAGACTAATTAATTGACACAAATAAAGGAATTGATTAATGATAATTGAATAATGCACATAAATAAGAGATCTTGAAATTTAGTCTCAATTAGTGACACGGGCATGAAACCAGGACTGTTTTGTTGATTCTGCGATTAAACCGGCTTTATAGCAAATCTAATATGATTTCTAGGATAAGACCCTTGGGTCATGGTTCAACCGGTTCGACTAGCCAATCCGTAGGTTTTCTAAACATTGGTTAAAAATGATTGCTTGTTAAAAAATCAATTACCGATGAACGTATGCCAGTATTTTGTACACATGGACCCACATGCACCTTGCTCTTTGTCCCCACCCCTTCAACTTGGTTCGCGTGGAGACACTATAATTTAATCATGCTTGTTGATTTTGCTTTTCTCATCCAATGGTTAAAGCATAATCAAGTGTGATCAAGATACACTATTTTATTTTTCTAACAATGATTTAACTATTAACAAAGGTTAACTAATAATAGAGAACAATCAATTGGGCTAGTTGTGCTTGTGATGAAATAAAGAGTAGGGATAAGGGAAGTCTATACAACCTGTGGCTATACCAAAATAACCTTAATTAAAATTTATGATAATACAAAAACCGCATGTTCATAAAACTTATAAACCTTTTCAAAATGATTATCTTTAATCAAATATCCATATCTATACTATTTATAAAAGTGTGAATGAAGAGGTATTGGCTTTTGGAATTTTTCTTTACTGAAATACCTTTCCTATTGAATATAGTTTATCTTCATTGAAATGGTATAAAATGTAATTAAAAAAATGCCATTAAGTACATTCAATTACCTCTCATTAAGTCTCACATTTAAGTCATTAAATAAATCACATTCTATCTCATTGAATCCAACATTTATAATTTTGTTTATCATCATTAAATTCCACTAATAAATCCATACACGGTAATTATTAATAAAATGAAATTTTATATTTTTAAAATAAACATATAAATGAAATCGTATCTTTCATCTAGGTGGTGGGTAAGTAGTTCAACCATTTGGGTCAAATGAATAATTTCATGATATTATAAATAAATAATACAAATTTATAAATATAAAAAATACTTTTGTTTATAAATTCCAATAGTCTATACACAATAATTATTAATAGAATGAAATTTTATATTTTTAAAATAAACCTATAAATGAAATCATGTTTTCCATCTAAGTCGTGGGTAAGTACTTCAACCATTTGGCTCGAATGGATAATTTCATGTTGTCATAAATAAACAATACAATTTTTGAAATATAAGAAATACAAAAAATATAGAAAAATAAATAAATTTTGAAAAAAAGAATGGACACATTTCTATTATTATATATTTGTTATATTGAAAATAATTACGATAAAATATACATAATTTTATTAATGATGGACATCAAATATACAACTTAAAACCAATGGGAAATTAAACCATCTTCCTATCTAAGGGGTGGGTTAGTGGTTCAACCTTTCAGGTCATATAGGTTAACCCATGATGTATAATTAAAAATGATTTTTAAAATATAATAGTACAAAAAATATGAAACAATTTTAGACACATCTATAATATTATATATTAATAATATAAACAAAAATTAGTATGATAAATAATAATTATTTTATCAATGATATAAATGGAATGCAAAAATTTTAACCATATTGAAAATGAAACCATTTTTATACCTAGGTGGTAGGTAGGTCAATGATCTAGCATTACGGGTCAAATGGGTTAATCTATGATGTCATGACTAAGTAACTAATATTAATTAATTAAATACATATATATATATATAGATAAGTTTTGTATAAAGTATTTTGATACAGTTCTATTGTTATATATTCACCATATTAAACAAAAATAAATGTGAAAATAAGAATTACTTTTTATTGATGATGAAAATGGAATACATAATTTAAAATCAATCGAAAAAACAAAATTATTTTTTCGTCAAAGTGATGGGTTAGTAGTTAAACTATCCATGTCAAATGGATGCTATTATTAAATAATAAAATACATAAAATTCTATAAAATGTAGAAATTCATTGATAATTTTTGATACATTCTATAATATTATATATTCATCATATAAAAAAGTGTGATTAATGATAATTATTTTCATTAATGATAGAAAAAATTATGATAAAAAAGAGCATTAATGTCTAACACATGACCCGACTAACCATGTCAAATGATTCAATAACTTAATTAGCTAGGTCATCATAGGTAAGTGGTTTGGTAGGGATGCAAATAGAACATATCAGATTTTAATTATGGTATATTCAAATATGATATGATCCAAAGATCAACCGGATCTCATAAATATTGATTCAAATCTGAATCCGATCAAGATGTCACATATTTGAATCAGATAAGGTCCTATTTAATTTTTTTTAAAAGTAATAAATTATTAAAAGTAAAAGAAAATATAATAGTTGAAATAAAGAAAAAATATAAGTATTTTTTCAACTATTTCCATCATATAAAAAGTTTACAAAAATGCAATATAAATAACATATTTATAAATAAATAATAAATAACATATATATTATATATAAATGATATATATATATATATATATATAAATAATTGATTTGACCATAATATTAAAAACCAATATTCAAACAATATATTGGAATTGCATTTCCTTCTGGTAAATAAGTAATTTTTATTATCTCATAAATTACATAATAACAAATAAATATATAGATTTTTTTATAAATTTCATACAAAATTGAAACATACATTAATATTATATATTTTCCATACTAAACAAAAATATGTTTGAGAAAATAAGAATTATTGCTAGTAAAGATAGAAATGGCTAAAATACAAAGAAAAATAGGATTAATGTCTTAACCATTGTCCATTTTCCTCGTTAAATAGGTTAATGGTTCAACCAGTAAAGTCATTTGGTTGCTAAGTATTATCATCATCATCATTTGATATTTCCACGTGCAACGTGCGTACACTTTTACTAGTATGTAAAAAAGGTATAAGATGTCTCATGGAGCTTCAACCTTCTTATTTTATTTTATTTTGTTTTTTGTAACTAAGTTTCAAAGATTTCAAAACTTGGAAGTAGAAGCTATTTGTGGCATCCATGATATTCATCAATGAAGGATGAGAAATAAAGTAGGAAATAGTATGAAAAATAAAATGTTTCTCAATAAAATTTGGACCCATTCCAATATGATATAATTAGGGGTTTTCACGGTTTAGTTAATTGAATCGTGGGTTTTTCTTTGTAATCGAACCGGTACTACAGGTTTTTGGAAAACTGGTAATCGAAATCAATCGATTAACTGGTTGACTGGTTTGGTTAACCGTTGATTTTTTAATTTTTACAATATATATTATAAAAATATATATAAATATAATAAAAATTATAAATATATAATATTATATTTTAAAAAATAAATAGTATATCATATATTATAAATATATATAATGCATATTTATTAATTTATAATATATAAAATATAATATATAGAAATATATGTATATCGGTCGGTTTGGTTAACCGCCAGTTTTTTATATTGGTTAACCAAAACTGAACTGAGCGGTTTGATTAATCGATTTTTTTTGTTCAATTTCGGTTGATTTTTTTGATTGGTTCGGTTTTTTGTTTTTTTGCTCACCCCTAGATAAAATCCAATTCCTTTCAATTAAATGCGCTAGTGCAAGTATTAACCACATATATAATATGTATTTGGATTTAATTAGGTAGTCCAACTATCACCACTATTTGGAGAAGAATTATTAAATAGTTACTAAAATAAGTGTTGTACTACGCCAAGAAAAAAATAATTTACGGGCCCCTATGGGGAACAAGGCGTGAATTTCATTAAAAAAAAAAGATATGTATTTGCTTTATATAATAATCCTAGTGCACGAATATATACTTTGCACATATACAAAAAGATAACATATACAGGTGGTATTTGAATAATTTAACTTTTATGGCCTCCACAAAACCGAGGGCACATAGTAATGCACACGTGCAAGTAATGAATAATAATATAAGTCAACACCATATACATAGTTAAAATTTATATTCTATTTATTCTTAAAATTTATATATGGCATTTTTCACTGCACACAGTCATTGATTCAACATTTCAACCGTTCAAATTTTATAAATATTTACTTTCAACATATTTTATTCATGATATACAAACTCAAAGACGTTTTCACTTAATTTTATTAATTATATAATATTTGAGTATTTATTATTTAATTCATTAATATTGTTTGGTTTAAAGAAATTAATATTAGGGTAAATTACAAAGACTCCCTGTACTACGAGATCTCTAACAAAGACCCCCTGTACTTTGTTTTGAGACAAAGACTCTTTCTACTTTGATCATGAGACAAAGACCCCCTTCCGTTAGCCTTTCGTTAAAATCCACCGTTACAATATTTTTTAATCCCCATACTACCCTTGTAATACCTATTCAGATAAAAGCACTATTCATCTTCCCCGATCTCAAGATATACAAACAGTAGCAATGGTAGCTGTTGCAGTGATGACAGACTTCAGAAATCCTCTTTCTCTCTCTCTCTTCCTCTCTCTCGGTCTCTCTTCTTCTCCTTCCCCCTTCCCCTTTCTCTCCTCTCCTTTCTTCTTCCCGATTTCCTCTATTTTCTATTCCTTGCAAATGAAGAGAGAGAGTAACTGTTTTCCGTTCCTCTCCAACACGCTATCTTTCTTCTTTGATAGAGACAATGGTTGTGGAAGTTGTGCTGCTCCCCCAGGTGCATTGGACTGGTACGCATTGAGGTCCTCGCTTAACCATTCCCTCCACCACTGCCTCCAAAGGCCATCATCATGGGAGGAATTGATCTCGGTGATGGACTGGTAAGTAACCCTAGTTGGAATTTTTGGTGTTGTTGAAGAGGTGGAGGAGGTAATTGGGGTTAGGGAGGTGAGATCCTACTTCTGCTGCCGTCGTGGTTCTTGTTATGGTAGTAATAACAATTCGCCCTCGATTGGGGCTCCCCCTTCATCTCTTTCCGGTGGAAGTTCTTGTGACAGTCGCATGCGACGCATTTTAGGGCCTCTGGGGTCCCTTCCTCACCACTTGGCATGAATTCGTCGATCTTTTGACCCTCCCCCTGACCCCTATTTACCCCCAACCCCATTCAACATGTACACTCCCCATTCTCACCATAAATTGGAGCTGCCCAATAACTTTCCATTTCTAACCTGTTAAAATTGTAGTCATAAATAATGCCTTCAATCGAAGCGCATAGAAATTGCTAAGATTTTGGTAGCAAACACTACAATGGACACTAACAAAGTAAAGATCCATGGGGTATGTGTGCGTGTTGATTCTATGTCACGGGTTGCACAAATTGAAAGGGCAGAAAAAGAGAAAATGAAAGAGGCTTGGGCATTGTAAGCTCATTGAGGTTCACTTCCTTGGGGTTGAAATGGGTCAAGCTTGCACCATAGTATTAAGATGTGCTTGATGAGGCTGAAAGGTCTCTCTACATGATGCCCCGTGTGTACTATCTCAAACTGTTGTCGATAGTAGAGTTTTACTTAGAGGAGGGTGGCACCTGAGATGGTGATGGCAAAGGAAGTTGATGAATTGGCACGCAGGACTCCAGGAAATAAGTCTCATGCAATTAAGGTATTCTCACGGGCCTTATAGGCCATCCCTACAACTATTGCAAATAATGCAGGTTTGGACAGTGCATAATTGATTTATCAACTTCGTGCAGAGCATCACAAGGATGGGTGTACTACTGGAATTGACATCCTCTCAAGGGCAATAGGAGGCATGGAGAAACTTGGAATCTCAGAGTTATTCAAAGTCAAACAGGTTGTGCTACTTTCTACAACTAAATCTACAAAGATGATACTTAGAGTTGATGAAACCATCACTTGTGCCCCATATAAAAGAGAAGATAGAATTTCGGAGAGTTGGGATAGAGAAAGAATGAGGGAGGATGGTGAGGGAGGGGAAAAGAAAAGAAGAAAGAAAAAACAATAGGTTAAATAGGTTTTAAGAGAAAAAGAGCAAAAAAAGAAAATAGAAAAAATTTAGTAGGGTATTTTGATAATTTAATGCATTTCGCTATCTAACTTAACGGTCAAAAGGAGTCTTTGTCTTACAATCAAAATACAAGGGGTTTTTATCGCAAAACAAAATATAGGGGAGTTTTGTCACAAACCCCATAATAAGGGTGGTCTTTATAATTTACCCTTAATATTATTTTGGGTTCGAGTATGATAGAAATGTTACCACACCCCAAAAACAACTTATCAATAAACTTGAATCATAAACGTGGTAGCCATAAATGTGTTATTTATCAAAATTTATAGGTAGATTTTAATTGGTCAAAACTCTTTCCATACTTTCCCGCATCATAAATTTTTGGGAGAAGTACCAATCAACCCAGATCAGAATTTAATAGGCCCAATCATAAGAGGGGGAGAGGAATTCTGCATCGTGTGTCCGTACTTTTCCCTAGATTTTTCCTATTTGAATATCATATTCAAATCCGAATCCGATATACTCTGACAGTTACGATTTTGGCGTAAAAAAAAAAAAAACAGTTGCGATTTTATTTTTGTAAACCCGACAATCCGACATTTAAAGATTCGATCCAATATAAACGCATCAAATATGGATATACCTTAGATTCGATCCGTTTTTTCAGCCCCATCGAGGCTCGACTCTCGAGCCTTTATTTGCTGTTTTTGTTTGTCCATCCAGGGCTCCACTGTTCACTCCACACTCCACTGAATCACGGCAAGGAGATTGCTTTCCATCCCAAACACAGACGACACTAAGAGATGGCCTGGTCCGTCGCAAAATCCCTCTGTACGCCGGTGATCGACATGAGCAGAGTGCGAGCAAGGTCTCCCCTCGCTGTCGGCATCGGCTGCGTGTCTCTCGCCGGCTCGAGCTTGTGGTTCTCTATATCGTCCCCATCACGTTTAAAGCCCTTTGCAAGCTTAAGCATTTCTGCTGACACTTGTGAGATTCACATCATATATTCTTTCTTTCCAAATAATCATCTGTTCTGTTTTAATTTATTTGATTTTTTCTCCAATTAGGGTACGATTGAGCTTAAGCATTGCCTGCTTGATTGATAGATATTTTGTTAGGAAATGATGAAAAAATCTCAATAAAAGATGAGAAGATGATAAATGAATTAATTTCATTTGAATAGTAACATCCATTCCAGGGTTCGATTGAAAAGGAAATAAAAAAAGCACACGTTTTGAATAGGAAGCAGCGAATTACTGCGAATGTGGGACTTCGAACTCGGGGACTAAGTGTGTACTTACCCGGAGTATGAGTTATTCTCTTAAATATGCTTTGTTTATATGATGCCTACGATCATTTGATCATGCTGATTTTCGGTTCAAAGAAAGCTTCTTAACGCCCCGTTGATTTGTCTGCGATGACCAAGAGGGATGTGTTTCATAATCAGTAGTTCAGTCTATGTTTTTAAGTGACGATAATAGTTACTACGACGGTAAACTCTGGTGCCATAAACCGTTCTATTATTTATGTGGATGTTTGCCCGTTATTTTTATTACAATGGATTTGCGCTGTATTAGCTCTAGCTTACTGGTTCTTTGCTTTATAGTTTAGTAGAGGAGAGGGATTCGTTTAGCCAACCCTAACCAGTTGGAATAAGGTTCCATTAAGTTGGAGTACTCTGTCGCAAGCAGTTTTTTGGTTAACAGTTTTTATTGCAGTTACGTGTTAATATAATAACTAATAAATATGAACATGTCTGCCCTGATTTTAGGTAAAAAGGAAGCTGTTCAGACAGAAAAGGCACCTGCTGCACTGGGACCATATTCTCAAGCCATCAAAGCCAATAACATGGTCTTTGTATCTGGTGTTTTGGGTCTCATCCCTGAGGTTCTTTTTCTCTTCATTGCTGGAAACTCTATTTGTTTTTCTCTTTTTATCCTGGTTAAAACTTTTTTATTAGGTCTATGTCCATATATTTACTAATAATCATATTGTAACTCAAATGTAGACTGGGAAGTTCATTTCGGATAGTGTTGAGGAGCAGACAGAACAGGTATATAAATGTAACCTTTTAACCTGCATATAAGTGGTAATAGCATTCAATTACATGCTTGCTGAATTGGTAACATATTTGTACATTGATGGCACAGAACTGGGTCTACACTCATCCATATTGTATTCTATGTGTCATTATTGTGTTATTTGGAGGTCGATTGCCAATCCTAACAATGGGAATGGTTTGCTTGGTGGAAACATTCAAACTTCTATGGTTTGACCTACTAAAATGGGAAGTCTACAGCTTTAAATTTTGTTTTTAACTCTGCATTTATGATGATGGATTGCAGATCAGGCTAAGATGACAGATTTTTTATGTACTAATCTTTTGCAGATCATGTGGCATGCAGTGATCATTCAAAATTAGTTGGGGTAAATGAGCATTGCTTGGAATGCTCCACATTTAAATTATTCACATTAAGAACAGGGAGGAGCCAAGGGTGGCGGAGGGGAGCCTTGCCCCCTCCCCCCCTTGCCTTAAAAGTCTCCACAATCCCCATTTATATCCCACTTGTATCCCCCCCCCACCCTCTGTATTTATTTACTCCCCCCAATTCATGTTTATTAACTTTTGGCCCCCTCTAAGAAAAAAACCCTGACTCCTCCCCTAATTAAGAAGTTTATGTTTTTTGAGAAACAAGAACCCCAGAATAAGGGGCTGAAAGGAGAAATAAACCACATAGAAAGAGCCCTCGATACAAATGAGGCCTTGGAACCACATCCTTAGCAATGACATGAGCAAAAATGTGTGCTTATTGCACTAGTTACTACAAGAACAATATGCCACAAATAACAAGATGCCCAGGCATGGCCCTATTATTAGGTATCCACCCTATAGGTTTCATGCATGTGGGTCCCTATAGATTCTTTCTCCTTCCGGCACTTTTCTGTTTCTTCTTATTCATTTCTTTTAGAAGATAATTTTATTTGTTTAAGAAAAATAGTAAAAAGGTGATTTATCAAAAAAAAAAATGTAAAAAGGTGCACCTTAAAAGGAATCTGGATTCAGTCTTCACAAGTCACAACGTCCTCACAACACTTGCATCCCTGCATTGGGAACATATCTCAATGAATGAAAAAAATACAAGTACAGAGATGCTCCAAATGCACGGCTGCAAGTGTTGTGAGGACAAATTTTGTGAGGACTGAATCTGGTCTCCATTCAAAGATGTAAAAGGAAGGATATACAGTGCCATATATTATCTTGTAAAGCAACTTGATTACAAATAGAGCTATCGTTTTATAAAAAAGCCTTTATTTTTGGAGAAAAGGTAAAGTATAATTCTATAAAAGAACCTTATTCACACTCAATCTACATCCACAGTAGAATTAAGTTCTGCTGTGATGCATCTAATATGAACAGGAGTGGATGAAAGAATCTCATTTATTTCAGTTAGATAGTGAAAAGCCTCTACAGTTTGATTTACCAATCCTTCTAATTCCCCAATTTCAGTTGGTCCTGGATTTTCAATGCCAAGCGTTACCTCTCTAGTCTCTACCTACTGAGGGTTGGATGGCCCCAAGAGAGATTTATTTTTCTTTCAATTGCTATCTGTTATAGGGAAATTTTCCGTTGGATTCCTTATTATAATGTTGCTGACTCTGCACTGCCTCAAAATTTGAAAATCAGATAAAAACTGTCTTCAACATTCAGTGGTGACAGAAATCTTCAAAAATTATAATAAAAAAAGTTAAGCGAAGGACCACAAACTGTCATTACTGTTTAATTTTTTTGCACAAACCCATTTATTATATGGTTCTTTGGTTCTTTTGTAAATAAAAATTGGAACTTGGTAGTTCTTCTTCCTTTTTTATTTTTCATTTTTTAGTTTTAGGGAATACTCTATTTTATTGCTGATACGTAATACTTTTTAGTTTTTAATTATATTGAATTGGTGTATCAAAAGGCTTTATAAAAGTATAGAAGAAATGGGCCGAGTATGTGTTTTTGACAATCCTCTAACCATGTAGAGGAGGTTCATAAGCTCGTGCTTTTTTTTGACCCCCTCCTTCCAAGTATGTGTAATTAGTGGATGCAAAGATGAGGATAGGACCAGAAGATGGCCTCATGTCTCTCTACATGTCACCCTTTGAAGACACCAACTGGTTTCTAAAATAATTCTGTTAATACAATGATCAGAAGAAATTTTATTGGTGACAAACAAAACTCTCTCAACTTAAATTTTAAGTTGAGAGAGACAATTCCACAACATCAATTGACCATATATGAACAAGATAGTCTTATTTATCAGAGAGAGAGAGAGAGAGGCCAAATTCTGGTCCTGGTGGCCCTCCCATCTAAATGAACAGCTTGTCTTAAAGGCCAAATTCTATTGATAGTGATAAATGGTCCAGGCCATTGGTTGATTTAGATTACTGTGCTGAACTGAAATTGTTCATGTTTGATACAATCTCATGTGTTATTTTTGGCTTTCAAAAAATGAATCACCTCTTTATTGAGTCATACCCCATATTGTGCACCATGCTAAAAATTTTGTTAATGATATTTTTGTCCTACTCCATTTCCCAAGCATCTTCACTTGTTGCTGACTGACTTGGAGGATTTGGAAACCTGCAGGTTCTCAAGAATATGGGGGAAATATTGAAAGCTAGTGGTGCTAGCTATTCCTCTGTTGTTAAGACAACAATTATGTATGAACTTATTTTCTCCATTGTGTTATTCTTTAGATATCTGAGATGAGAAAAAACTGAAGAACTTTTTTCCTAACTTTTTCTTCAACAGGTTGGTTGACCTGCAAGACTTCAAGAAAGTCAATGAGATCTATGCTAAATGTGAGTTCTAGTTAAGTCAAAGTGATGCTTGACATATATAGATATTAATCATGCTTGACAAAAAAATATGCACATGAGAAAAAATATTGCATTCTTTTTTTTGCCTAAATTGGCAAAGCAAAGTAGTACAATTTTAATGCTGAGTTCTGCTTCATCAATATATGAATCAGACAAGTTGGGGCTTCAGCAATCAGCATTTGGGAACCCAGAAGAACACTTAGCTTTGTGGAATAGGAAGTTGGAACTGAAGAATCTAACACATAAAGATGATGCGGCATTTGAGGGTAGGATAGTGGGACAGTAGTTCCTGCATTATCAAGCTATGAATCAGACAGTAAAAGAATTCAATGGCCTCTGCTCAAGTTTCCAAATAACCCCGTGTCTTGAATATAGTGGTAAAAGGTGCTATGGCTAAAGGGAACCACGCCCGAAATTGGAAAAGCTATATATGATTGTTTCAATAGAAGTTGCCTCTTAGTGGTTGTAGAAAACAAGGTGTCGTACCTTTACATGGCTACATGCATATGAATTTTGGGCTTATTGATAACATATTAAATGTTTGGTTGAGGTCAGTCATGAATTTCCTCATTTAATTACCATGACTATGCATTAACCTTGATGTCTGATTTGATGTTGCAGACTTTCCATCACCTGCCCCGGCCCGTTCAACATACCAGGTGGCAGCTTTACCCTTGGGTGCCAGGATTGAGATTGAGTGCATTGCAGCACTGTAGCTCCCCTAATTTTATCTCAACCTGCTTTGTTCAACCGTTAGAGTCTAGTGAATAAGCATGAAGAAGGCATATGACTTGTATTCAACTGTTTCCAGAGCATCTACCAATATTGATGTCTTCATAGAGTTAGCTCTCTACTTCTAGGAGAAATAATTTTGGTTAGGTTTATATTTATAATGGGAATTGCATTTTTGTGTGCTCTTGGAATCCCTTCCAATTTAGAAAGTCAAGGCTGTAACTGTAATTGCAAATAGCGATTCCCTTAATAATTAGACACTTTAACTGATTGAAGGTGAATGGAGCCCTTGGAACAATGTAATTCATGGTCATCTTCTCATGTGCATGCAGCAGAGGGCTGTAAATGTGGAGAACTGAGTGGAAGTTGATGCTCAGTTCAGGGCTTGGCCTGCCAAGTTATGCCCACCAAACTTGAGTGGGGTTCGTTAAAACGGCTCACTCAACTTGAAGCTTGCCACAAAAATAAACTCCTGCATCCTTTATAGCTGTTCGAAAAAGTACTGTTTGCTGAAGGAATTAATTATGAAAGATATTCCAATTTAATACGTTTTCATTCAACTTAGCACTGCATTCGCTGAAGGGCTTGCTTTTCAAAGGGAGAAAAACACCTATAGGTTTTTGGTTTGATAAAGAATAGGAGAGAAACACAAAGTTGAGGGAAAATTCTTTAGGTTTTATCTTTTTTTACCAGAAAAAAAAGAAGGTTCTTTTATCATTTGAACAAGGTTCAAAATATACTATTATAAAAGGGATGTTTGTGTTAGTTTTAGTGCAAGTCACAGAAATTAAATTTGATTTTATAATGTCAAGTTGTATCTTTATTCTTTGTTCTTTGCATGGACATGGTGGAAAGATATGTTAAGAAAATCTTAAGAAATACCACAGATACGTCAAATCAACTACACTAAATTTAAGACTGATTCGCTGAAAATACTATGAACAGGTTGCAAATACATTTAAAAAACACATGCTTTAATGGTTCATATGAAGAAACACATTACAATAAACATATAGTTATATGTGGATATCATTCAACAGCTTTACCATCAGCTAATAATTCAAAATACAACCTGCATTGGTGGGAGCCTTGTGCTGGGGTCTACAAAATATGTTAGATTTATGAGAATTATAATATTATAAATCCAAAAGCGTAAGATGCGAATCATATGCAATTATCATTTTTTAATTACTAAACTTATTACTTCATATTTTATTAATTTTACTTTTGTATATTATTAAAAAGATCAGTCTTAAATGCTAGTTATAAATATAAATAAGTTAATGTTTTTATTTCCATAAATAATACATATGGGTGTTGGGGCAAATGACAAAAAATAAGCTTCTTGCATTTAAGGGCATTCCCACCTTGGTTATTCTATAATGGTGCCACATGTTTGAACCTATTATAAACCATTGTGCAATGTATTTTGTGCCAAAACATCTCGCTTCCTGTTTAATTTCAAAACATTAAACTTAAAACACCATCCTAGTAACCCACAATGTTAGGTTGCAAATAGATTGGATTCAAATCTAATATATCCAAATCCAAATTTGATTTGATAATATTCTAAATGGAATAAAGCCTTATTAATCAAATTCCGATTAGACTCAATCTGCTATATTAAACTAAAAACTATTACAAAATGAACTAGAAATAACGTGTATCATGAATTTTACACATACATACACACTAATATAAGAGTGTGCTTGCAAGTAAATATTAACCACATATATGATATATATAACATTTGGCCTTAACTTTTATGATTAACATAGAACCCAAGGCAAATATCTGCCTTGTGTGTGCACCAATGTATATATATATATATATAGATAGATAGACAGATAGATTTATAGATAAATAGATAAAGAGAGAGAGAGAGATAGATAGATAGATAGAGAGAGAGAGGGAGAGAGAGAGAGAGAGGGAGAGAGAGAGAGAGAGCTTAAGCAAAAGTAATAAGAAATTATTTTAAATACTCATAATTTAATAATGAATATCACATTAGAGGGAATTGAATGGTGAATTGTGATTCATGTAGCTCAGTAACTGACCCCGTATTGTTAGAGGATAAGGCTTAGACAATGGTGGTGATATATAGTCGAAGGGGCTAGAAGAGTCATAACAAGAAACAATTTGAGTGCCTATAATTTAACAATGGATATGAAATTGAAGAGAATGGAATGATGAAATGGGAGTTATGTAACTGACCCATATAATTGGGATAAAGCTTTGATGTTGATTATGATAGCTAGAAGAGTGAAGCAAGGAGTAATAATTTAAGTGCCCATAACAATGGATATGACATTGAAGAGAATGAAATGATGAAAGATGATTTATGCATCCAACTCCATATAATTGGATCCCAAGGCTTTGATGTTGATGATAATAGACACGTTTAAATAATATTGGATTAGATCATATGGATCAAAGTGGAGCCGATCCATATACAATCCAATTATATGGATTACCTTATACTGGTCATTTGTCTAATGCTGCACATGCTGGAGCATTGGCTTTCCTTGAGGGATTAAGTTTTGCTCACGAGTCTCAATTGTAGTTATGTCATCGAAGGTGACTCCAAAGTTGATCTTCTGTTAGTCGACTCTTTAATACCACTCTACTGGCTACAATTGATTATGACTGATGCAAGACCTTCCATCTTGCTCAATTCCTTTTACTCAATTCTCAGTTTAGGAAAATACAAACACAAATATGTAAAGTGAAAATACTTGTATATGGTACTTGCAATTTACATATTTGTATTATTCTCACTAGGTTCAGTTTGGAAAGGATACAAATACAAATATAAACAATAGAAAATATATATAAAATAATACAAAGTATAAGGTTTTAAACTCTACAAGTTTGCATTTATACTTAGGGGTGTCAGTTGACCGCTTTTGGTTTGGATCCAACTCGATCCAAACTTTATCAAATCGGATTTGGATGGTCCATTATAATTATTGGATTGTGTTGATCTAAAATAAATTGATCCATATTCTTATTGGTTTGAATTAGATCTAAACAAAATTTCCAATAATCCGATCATGAGGCCAAACCCTTGTTCAATTTGAAGGTACTTTTACAAAAACACTTTTATAAAAGTAATTTTATGAAAAGCATTTATAAAAACACTTTTATAGAAGTAGTTTTATAAAAGCACTTTTACAAAATCACTTTAATAAAAACACTTTTACAAAAGTACTTTTACGATAGTACTTTTACATGAAAACACTTGTGAAATCACTTTTACAAAAAATACTTTTATGGAAGTACTTTTACAAAAGCACTTTTATAAAAGTACTTTTATAAAAACACATACGATAGTAATTTTACAAAAGTACTTTTTCGAAAGCACTTTGTGAAATTACTTTTATAAAAGTACTTTTACAAAAGCACTTCTACAAAAGTACTTTTATAAAAGTCTATGGAAATACTTTTTGAAAAGTGCTTTTACAAGGGCACTTTTCCGAAGTTCTTTCAATAAAGTGCTTTTGTAAAAGCACTTTTATGAAAATATTTTTATCAAAGTACTTTTACAAAAGTGCTTTTTCAATGCTAAAAGTGTTTTTATATAATTTTTTATATTTCGTTCGGTTTGGATTGGATCCAATTGGATTCAGACTGGATTGGGTCCAGTCCATTTATAAGTGGACTCACATTGGATTGGATTGGGTTTGACCAAATCCATCCAATTGACACCTCTATATACTCCTTCCCAACTGAGCTTTAGGTTGTGTTTGGTTGAAATGTAAATAAATTTGCACTGATGTAAAACCATGGCAGTGCAAATGATTTGAATGTAAATTCTGACTCATTTTTGTTTCAAACTTTATCTTATTTTGTTTGATTGCAGTACAAATGAAGTAAATTAAGACATGAAATAGAATAAAGTAAAAACCAAAACAAAATTAAATAAGAATTTGCATTTTTTACATTTGCACTCTCATACATTTGTATTAGTACAAATAAATTTGCACTTCAATCAAACACAACCTTAGGCTTAATTTGAAAAAAATACAAATAAAAATATGTAGAATGTAAATACACACAGAATATAAAATTTTTTCTTTCAAAATTTCAAACTTAGTCTGTTTCTTTTCTCCTGGATTTTCCCAGAAACGGGTTTGACTATGATATCCAAAAAGCGTCTTATCAATCACTAATCAATTAGAATTATAAAAATGGTAGTAAATTAGGTGTTATTTATCAAAATTTATGAGTAAATTTTGATTGGTGAAAACTCTTTCCATATCATATTTTTTCCTCATCATAGATTTTCCCAAAAATTGAAATTAGACGTATGGGATACTTGTGGTCCCACCTACCGCCTCACCATGTTACAACGGACAAGGTCAGATGGGTGCTCGATCCACTCTTATTGTTGAATCAGACGGTTCAAAAGCAATCGTTTATGTTCCTTATGATTAATCCAGTACAGGTGGCCCATCATCAATATTCCCTTAATAAATTCATCCTGTGAGGCTACTTATTCGAATCAGACGGTTTTGGGGAAAGCTGTTGTTTTCATGATGGGATCACGCTGTTACCCTGCTCCACCGAGAAGAAAAGAAAAATAAATAAAAATAGAATAATTCTAGGGGAGCAGCAACAGCATCTGAGAAGGAAGCAAAAAAGACGGGGACTTGAGACGGACACATGCGTCAAAGGCTCAAAGCTAAGGCGCCAAGTATTGTGTGGTAAGATAAACGCAAACAGAGCTAATGACCAACTCAGCTCATTTCCGTCTATTGCTACACACGCTCGATATTTATTTATTTATAACGATAAGTACTCTTTCACAGATTTTCAGGGGACAAGCATTTGGGCGTGTACTCTAACAATCCAAATTCTTTCCTTCTTTACGGCTATAACTTTGAGAAAGGTGCTTTTCTTCTTCAAATTGTCTTAGAATTTGGGATCTTTTGAACAGGGGGTTTAATTGATTTTTGATGGGTTTCTTTATTTTGATTGAAATTGAGTTTGTTTATAAGAGAGGTTGAGTTGTACTTGGTGCGTCTTCTGCCTTTTGTGTACATGTAGTTTCCGTTGCTTTTAGTCTGTCCATTGTGTCCTTTTTTTTTTTTAATTTCTCTTTTGTTAATCTTTATATATGTTTGTGGATGGATATTTCTTATTTTTATAAATTAAAATCCTATTCTTTTGCTCTCTATTGTATTTAGTCCAGTTTGATTTGATTGCTGAAGTTGGGCTGTCGTTGATGTTCGAATTCCCTTTTCTTTTATTTATTTTTTTCCTCTGAAGAAAAATTTAGGTGGGTTTTCTAATTCCATATTCACAGAGCTTCTATTGTGCTCTTTTTGAAATCTGAGCTACTTCCCCCACTACCTCTTTCTAATCGTAATGGGTAATGCTATTTCTTGTATTTGTATTTGTTTAGTTTTCTTCTCTCTTTGATGAAGGCTGAATTTCACCCCTCATCCATTTCGGAGGTGGCATTGTGAGCAAGTATTCTTATATTGCTGGGCCCTTGTTTCTTATGTGTTGTCACCTACTACATAGTTGATCTTCTGGTTTTATGTTCTGCAGTTCTTTTTCTTTTCATTTTTTCTTTTGTTGTAGTATTTAAGGATGTATGCTATTGGGTTATTCGACTTTCCTTTGCATTTGGTTAGTTTTTTGTAGGCAAAAACTTATAGTTATTACTACTATTTTCAGGTGTATATTTCTTGATAGCATGGAAGGAATTGTTGTCAGAAGGGTCATTCCCTCGGACAACAGTTGTCTTTTCAATGCAGTGGGGTAAGCTATCAAATACTGTATCTGGTGTTTCCGTTCCTCGGAATCTTATTGATAGAGGTTGTAGATATATTCTCATCGTTTCTATGTTTCCCTATTTGCAGATATGTGATGGATCATGATAAACACAAGGCTCCTGAACTAAGACAGGTTATAATCTATAATCTGTTGTGTTGCCGCCAATGCCTATATACTTGTGGCTTAATTCTTGTGGATGCCAATAATTATGGGTTGGTACATGAAGAAATGAGGTTGGAAGTAGACTCAAATGATGGGTTTTATTAAATTCTCAAATAATGGACCAAATTCAAAGTTCCATAGACTTTGAAACTAGTATGGGAGCATATGGTTGTTTGGCATTTGTTATCACTGTATCTATGTTGACTTTATATGGTAACATTTTATGTTGTTTATCTACTGAATTAC